CTTAGGATCATACTGCTGGTGCTGCTGGGCGGGGTGGGGTGAGGTGGGAGGGCCCTACTTGCCCCCCAGTGCCGGGAGCCTGTGCTCCCCTCTCTGGCGCAGACTCTCCTACCTGTCTGTGATCCTATCTTCTCAGCTGCCCCCCCCCCCCCCGGCTTCCCCATGGGGCCCTCGTCTCTCGTTCATGCTGAGCCATGTGTCGTCCCGAACCCAGGTGGGCGCTTTGTTTCACTCCTGGCTTGTCCTGTATCTGTGTGTCTTTACAGTAAACTCAGCATGAGCTTGGACATTCGGCCAGTGTGTTTGGGCTGTCACGTAGATGCCAGCATTAGCAGGGGCCTGTGTGTCCAGGTGATCGTGTGTGCTCTGTCACCTATGTTCCGTGTGCACACGCATGCAGGGCACCATCCGCGAGGATGCTGCACTTGTTGCTCAGGCCCCATCCCAAGGCCTCGTGCCAAAGTCAAGGGGTGTGTGTGTCCCATGTGTGTCCCATGTAGACATCTGTGTGTTTTTGGCTCTGCCCATGAGGGGCACAGCGTGGCAGCCAAGGTTATGCTGCTGCATCCCCTCACTTGTCCGTGAGCATGTGCCCTTCTTCCTCTAATGGTGTCTTCTTGTCTCGCCCTCTGTCTGTTGCTGCCATGTGCTGGCCATGTCTGTCGCTGCCCTGCAGTCCTCGCCAGGCGTTGAGGAAAAGGTAAAGCCTGTGGTGCAGCGCCCTGCTATGCGGGCACTCAGTGGGGGCTGTCCAGAGGGAAAGTTGCGAGGCTGACAGTGCTCATGGAGGCCCACACAGGCTGTTTTCTGCAGCTGCTGTTGCAGAATGGGGGGCCTTGTCAGTTGCGTTTGTGAGACTGTGACACTGAGGAGGGGGACACTGGTTGGAAGATCTCAGCACAGCCATGGAGTGGGTGGCCACGCGGCCTTCCCTGTGCTGCACAGTCCCAGCACGTGTGCACCCTGGTCACAGGTTGGAAATCATACGCAACGAGCATCCCAGCCCAGTCATGGATGAGCTGTGCACCCAGAGTGGGTGGCACGACCCTGACTGCACAGGGCAGTGGCCTCTGAAGGGACAAACACTGTTCCTCCTGAGGGAGAGTGAGGGTGAAACAGGAGGATGGGGTTGTTGGGCTTTGGATGGCCCCACCAGTCAGTGGCACCGCTGGATGCTCACAGGGCTCAGAGGCAAGGCCCATATGTGATTCTGGGGGAGGACGCAGACCCTGGTCACAAGGGACTTCTGCTGGAGATGGTGGCCTGGCTGAGCAAGGCGCCAGTAGGTGATCCCTGAATGCATCTGCCCATCTCATCCTGTGAGGCAGGAGGCCCCTGGTGCCCCCAGCAGCATCTGCTGGCAGCTGGGACTGCAGTGGCTGGGGATCTAGGGGTTCTTATGCACACTTCACCTGAGATCAGGAGTAGAAGTCCCTGATGGGGTCAAAACCAGGTCCCAGGAGAGGTGTTTCCCACGCTGGCCCCATCTGGGGCAGCACATGCCTGGCACTTTGGGCTGAGCTGTGGCACCTGGCTGAGTTTCTGATGGGTCAGCAGATGCAGAGCTGTCCACCTTTGACATCTGTTGTGGGGTCCAAGTTTCCCCAACTCTTGAAAGTGACAGGCCGGGGCAGGTCTAAGAATAGCCACCTCCTCTGCGCAGGGGTCATGCATCATGCTGAGCACTTGAGGCCACTCACAGAAAACTGCTTCTGGAGTATCCTTGGCCCTGGGCATGCCCCACCCCAGGTTCTGCATAGAACACAGCCGCCAGCTGATCCCCAGAACTGTGTGGGCCCCCTGGCCAGGAGAGACCAGCTCCCAGAGCCATACTTTATAACCCTCCCACCCAGCCACAATAAGTTCTGGTCAGCGATGGCCGCTCCACTGCCATCCCCTGCTCTTCATCATCTGCATCCTCCAAGCCACTCTGACAGGCCAGCCTCTGCACCAGGCTCCTGCATCCTGCACCGTCTCCCCCCAGGACAGGCCAGCCTCTGCACCAGGCTCCTGTGTCCTGAGGAAGTCCCCCCCCCCGGAGTCTCTGGGGGCCAAGCCCTGAGTGTCAGAGGCTGTCACGTGTGTGTACCCTAATTCTTGGCCTAAACAGTTCCAAGCAGCGTGGATGCCAGGGTCTGACGACACCATCTGCCCCCCAGGAGGGCAGGGGGCTGGATTCTGTGCCATCTGGGCCCACCCAATTTGAAGATTCTGAGGAAGTGAGAATTCAGGCCTCTGTTCCCACAGTTATTTAGGGCCCTGGGATGTCTTCCCAGGGACGGAGCCCATGGAGGGCAACATGAGCTTTGCCCATACAGCTCCTGTCCAGCAGGTAGTCCTAGCGTCCTAGTGAAGCCTAAAGCATCCATCTCCAGTGCTGGTGCCCGTGATGGGGCTTCAGCAGACAGGATAGGATGCTCTTTACTCTGGACACATCTTGCTCAAATGTTTTCAATGACAGGCTTCAAGGAAAATGCAATAAAGGACTGAGGGTGCGGGAGGGGGGGACAGCGAACAAAGAACAGGGACAGAAAGGACTGACTCCTTCATTGGCCTCTGGAGGCAGAGGCAGGGCTGGCTCCATGTGAGAAAAGCCGTCGTCCTATACGTCACCACCAGCCGCTGGTCAGTGCTGGCCCCAATGCCATGGTCCCTGCACTCGCAATGTTGCAGTTTCTCAGCACACACAGCAGGCATGTGTTTAAAATGAAACCAGATAGCGATGATAAATCACAGCATCATGGTAGGGGAAATGTTTTACAGGTTTGTAACTAAGGAGAGACTGTCCCGAACACATGGACGTGACTATGCAGCTGCTGACGTCCCTCCTGAGCTGGGCTATGGGCGGCATTTAGAGCAGCTCCATCCACTGGCCAGGCATCTGCAGGCCCAGAGAGGGATTGAGGTTCTCTCCACAGGCGCCATCTAACTTCCACTTCCTTCCTTCTGTCCTTGCATTTCAGCAGGAAGGAGCGCCCCACCTCTCTGAATGTCTTTCCCCTGGCTGACGGCATGGTACGTGCACAGATGGGGGGCAAGCTCATGCCTGCGGGGGACCACTGGCACCTGAGCGACCTCGGCCAGCTGCAGTCCAGCTCCAGCTACCAGGTTTTGTAGCCGTGCCGCGGAGTGAGGTCTTCCTGTCACAGGCATCCCCGTGTCCCTTTCAGGCACAGCCAAGTCTTCACGTACAGCTGTCTGTAGCTCTCCCCTGACATGGGCCAGGGATGGAGAGAATGGGGGTGTCAGGAGGTGCTGCTGCAGAGCAGGTCCTGTGCATGTGGCTCCACATTCCCAGTCCAGGCTAGACCTCTCTGCTCCTAAGATAGACCACTGTGCAGCCTGGGGTGCCTAGCATTTGTAAGGTCTGAACTTAGCCACCATCTGACGAACCACACTCCAAAATACAAGCCTCACCCTCAGACTGGACTCCAGCCAGAATGCATTTTAATCCTGAAAACAGTACCTCTTGTTTCGTACGGATTTAGATGTCTGGAGTCTGAGGTTTGCACTTCAGCTGGAAGAAAGTCACAGACAAGGAGATAGCTTCTCTTGTCTGCTTGTCCCTGGTAGCACCTCCTTGGTCTCTGAGTTTGAGAAGGTAGGACCCTACACACGTACACCCCTCATGCACAGCAGCCAGTAAGCATGCCGCAGAGATAGGGACCAGGAGGGAGTCAGGTCCCTCATTCAGGGCCCCAGCTTTGATCTGTGGGTTCAGGCTGTCTGGCTAAGGCAGGCTGTTGCAGGATAGGACTCACTCTGCCAGGTAAGGATCATCACCTTCCTGGGGCCAAGGAGGTGACCGTGGGTCTGGTGCATTTCCCATGGCAGCCACCGGAGGTCGCCTGCATAGGCAAAGCCCCTGGCCTCTTGGTTTAGGTCGGGTAGGTGGATGTGGGGTCCAGGGCTTCCCAGAGATGTCCTTCTTGCTGCGGCTCTGTGCCGACTGTCCTTCCACCTCTGAGTGTCCAGCTTGCCTGCAGCTCTGTCAGAAAGTGATTCCTACTGCTTCTGCTTTTGTTGCGGGAGTGGGGTGTCTCTGGGACTTTTGGGTCGCTCACCCCAGTTCTAGACTGTCCTGTGGTGTCTGTGTGCTGCGAAGAAGGCCATGAGGCCTGTGAGGTCAGGCCTAGCCCCGCTGTTTATGCCAGCTTAGCTCACTCCCTCTCACACTGGCCCACAGCGGGGACTCGCCCCAGGCGCCCTTGAAGTCACCTCAGAAAGCCACAAGGACCCTCACCTGCCCCTCTCTGGCCTCCTGGCATCCCCTCCTCATGCCCCTATCTGGATCAGCTTCACTTCTCATGACATCTTTCTTTCTTCTCCTGCCTTGTCTGGAATGAATAGTCTTTCTCTCGACCAATTGTAGTGTTTTATGTTTTGGTTCATATGTGTGTTTTATTTGATTTTTCTTTTTTTTTTATTAATTATATTTAGGTTCTTTTTATTTCATGCTTTAGGTTTTAAGGTTTTTCTAATTTGTTAATTTTTGTTGTTGTTTTTTATTTTGTGTTTTTTTGTTTTTATGTACTGTATTTTCAGTGTTTTAACCAAACAGTTGTGCTACTCATGGGGAGGAGTGTCCGCTAAGAGTTTGGGTTCTTTGCGTGCATTTGGAGGTCACTTCTACACGTTGATGTTTAGGAGGTTGAGAGGTTTGCCTCTAGGTAAGTTGTGGCCAGGGGGCATATCCTGTGGGTAAGTGGTGGTCCTGTAGGGTAACGAGAGCTAGAGGACCTGGGGGAGGCGCAGCTGGACCACTGCGTCCCCACAGCCATCACGAGGGTCACGGACAGGCTGGGGAGATGCGCATGGAGGAAGCTGGTCTTCTTCATGCACCTGACTCTGACTTGCCCTGCATGCAGTTCCTGCTCTGGTGGCAGCAGAGGACCCCACGTCCAGTGGGACACCCAGGGACTCTGATCTGTGGGGCAGGCAGAGGTACCTTGGGTGCCATGCAGTGTGAGTGGCCCTCACTTCCTCCAGTTCAGATGGCGATGTACAGAGGAAGGACTTTTTCCTCCTCAAACTAAGCATGAGCTGTAGAGCCAGATCCAAATCATTTAAAATGTTTATACGAAGCCACTCCCAGGGAGATGCAGGACGTGCCAGTGTGAGGCTTCTCCCCGCAGCACTGCTGGCAGTGGTCTGGATTGTGCTTGCTGGGGCCATGCTGGGCACTGTAGGAGGTGGAGCTGCATCCCTGGCCTCTACCCACTAGATGATGCCAGCAGCACCCCCTTCTGCTTTTGAGACAACCAGAAATGTCTCCATGCTTTACAAGTGTCCGCTGGGGACAGAGTCGCCCCTGGCTGAGAGCCGCTGCTGCAGAGGACAACGTGGCATTTTGAGATTCCTTGTAGAGAAATTTAGGAGCCTGGTAGATGAAGGCAGAAATCCATCTTCTGAGTGAGTGGCTGTGTCCAGTACTGAGAGGCCTCCCTGCCCTGAGCCTGGCGGTGACCCGATGTACCAGGAAAGGCAGATCTTAGAACCGGCTCTGCCTTCTGCGAGCCAGGTCTGCCCTTCTCAGTTAAATGTGGGGTATGTCTGTCCCAGCATTCATCCAGCCCTGGGAAGAGGGCCCAATACCCAGTACCCCTCTTTCATGAGCATCCTCAGCATTGAGAAGTTTCCCTGAAAGTGTGCCCCCCTGGGAGACCACAGGACACTGCAGTGTCTCCTGCCTGGGGTGCACCTGGTGAGCCGCCCCCAGGGTAGCAGCTTGGCTCCCTCCTGAGGCTGTGCCTCTTCTAGTGGTTGTCTATAGTAGTGAATTCAAGAGTGTTTGGGAGCTGTTTTTCTTGAGATTGTTCAGCACTTTCATTAGGAAAGACCATAGGAAAAGAATGTGTTTTGTGCCCTGAACTATTCTAGTAAAACATGTTCCTCCCCAGTGAGATTCTTCAGGTCAACAGTTGATTGCAGTGTTTAATAATCTGGGCTTTTCTCCCCCCAACATTTTGGTGATGTCCCATTCTATAGAAATGGAATTTCAGTTGTTTGAATCTGCATTGATATTCAAGGCTCAACACTGGTCCGGTGGAGCCGTGGGGTTAAGCACCACACAGCTGCTTGGGGGGTTACGACAGGCAGAATCGGGGAAATGCCAAAGCCTGTTCTACTCCCCTTGAGCCAGGGCTAGGCAGGCATCTCCTGGAGTCAGTGGAAGGAAACAGGGGACAGGCACGGGTGGCAGCAGCCTGGCATACAGTGCAGCAGTGATGCCTGACCAGATCCCTGGCCAGCCTCCTCCCCATGCCTGCCCTGGGCTGTGGCTTGTGGCTGGCTGCAGGGGGTCGCCCGCCATGTCCCCATGTGGCATCATGCTCGTCACACGCAGCTTCACTAAACAGCCTGTGGAGGGTGCAAGCAGAAAGCCCCGCACCAGACCCTTTAAATAAGGTGGCAGCTGCTTCTGGAGAGCCAGAGGCAGCGGCCGGATAAGCAAAACCACGCAGGAGTGTCTAGGCCCAACAGAGTCAGCCTTTCACCTGACCCGCTGGGCAGTTGGCAGGGGGAGTCCCGCCCGCAGACCAGTGCCCAGTGCTCTTTGCGGCAAAGTGGCAAGACGCGGAGAGCTGGAGCCTCTGGCGGCTGCGCCTGGAACTACACTGATGGGCTCTCCTCCCTGTGTTTGTCTCTAGTGTCCCCCAGATGAGATGTCTGAGTCGGACCAGTCCTCGGCTGCTGCCACGCCCAGCACCACGGGCACCAAGTCCAACACTCCCACGTCCTCTGTGCCCTCAGCCACGGCCACGCCACTCAACGAGACCCTGCAGCCCCTGGGGGACTACAGCAACGGCCCCAAGAATAGCAGACGGGCCCGGGAGAAGCGGGGCAGCCGTAACATGGAGGTCCAGGCCACCCAGGAGGTGCGCAACGTCAGCATAGGTACGGCCGCTGCCAGCCCGCTCCAGGGCCACCCACACTCATCCTGCGTGGGGTCAGATCAGGCAGGTGTCGGGGTCGGCTAGGGCTGTACAACAGACACCACTGATGGGGGGGCCCGAGCAAGCAACAGACACTTCCTGTTTTGCTCGAGCTGGGAGTCAAGTTGCAGGTGTTGCGGGGCTGGTCCCTCTGAGGCCGTCTTCCTGAGTGTCCTCATGGTCGTCCCTCTGCATGTTTGTGTCCTGATCTCTTCTCATAAGGACAGCAGTCAGATCAGAGTAGTCCACCACAGTGACCTCATTTTACCTTAATCCCTCCTTTTTTTTTTTTTTTTCCTTTTTGTCTTTTTTACTGACCGGTAACGGGATCGCAACCCCCCTCGGTGTCGCGCCCGTACCGGGGACCGGCAACAGGATCGCAACCCTCAGTGTTGCGCCCGCACCGCACTCAGCCAGTGAGCGGGAACCGGTCTCCACATGGGATCCGAACCCTCGGCGGGAGCGCCGCCACTCTCCCAAGCGGCGCACTCTCCAGTGCGCCACCGGGCCGGCCCCTTAATCCCTCCTTTAAAGGCCTGTCTCCAAACATGGTCACATTGGGGGTGAGGACTTTAACATGTAGATTTGGGGGTCATGGCTCAGCATAGAACAGGAGACCCCCGTCACCCTCAGCCCACAGTCTAACAGGAGATCAAAGAGGAAGATGACACCAGCCTCTCAGATCAGGTCATGAGAGGAAGTGCCATTCATTGCTAGGACCTGGGGTTTTGGGGGGACAGGTCCAGTGCTGAATTACTCCATGCAGACAGACCATGTGGTCCTTCTCCTGGGACTCCTACAATTCTGGAGTTCACCATGCCTTCGATAGTCCCTGCCTGGTGGGGGGTCTGGCTCTGGGTCTCTAGACGCAGACCCAGAGGGCAGCTGTGAGTAGGGCAGGGAATTGCCAGACCATCTCCTGACCCCAGCTCCTGCCATGGTTTCCCCAGGCATGGGCAGCAGTGACGAGTGGTCTGATGTTCAGGACATCATCGACTCCACTCCAGAGTTGGACATGTGTCCAGAGACCCGCCTGGACCACACAGGAAGCAGGTACTTGCTCGGCCTGGTGTCTCCCCCAGCCTATCCGGGAGGGAGAACCTTCAGGGTGCTGACCTGCCACCTCCCGCCCTTGCGTGCACTTGCAGCCACAGCATTGGCATGAACGGCTGTGCTGGGAGGTGTCAGAAGGTTGCGGACATGCCACCGATCGGTGATGTCCTTGACACTGCTCTCTCCTGGCCTGTGTATCCCAACAGCCCGACCCAGGGGATTGTGAACAAAGCTTTTGGCATCAACACTGATTCCCTGTACCATGAGCTGTCAACGGCGGGGTCCGAGGTCATCGGGGATGTAGACGAAGGGGCCGACCTCCTAGGTAAACACAAGCAATCCCAACTCGGGACTCCACGGCTTCCTGTCATTGGTTTTGTTTGTAACAAAAGGAAAGTCCTGCATCATGCGTGGGCTAGGAACTTTTTTATTTATGATTTTATCGAGACAGATTTCATATGCCATAAAATTCACTGCCTTAAAGTATATGGTTCCCTGGTTTTTAGTACACTCACAAGGCTATGTGACCATCAGCTCTATGTAAGTGTAGAAGGTTTCATCACACCAAGAAAGAACCGTGTCCATTAGTGCTCACCCTCAGTCCTGCTGCAGACCCCTCTGGGGCAGTCTTCCTTCTGGGGATGTTTTGGGAGGGTGACCATTTGTCAGCTCCTCTGCTTTCTCTGCAAGGAGACGCAGACCCACTGTGCCCCTTGCTCCCGCTGCACCTTCTCCCCGCAGCCCTGCCATGACTCCCTGCCCAGCAGCCCCACAGGGGGACTCATGGCCGGCCGCGTGGGGCTATGGAGTGGAGCGGTCACCATGGCCGTCTGCCCCACGTTTCCATGCCATTCCAGGCAGGCTGCTCACAGGAAGCAGGGGCAGCGGCCTGGCCCAGGACAGTTTCCTCGCTGTGCATTGCGGGGTGCGGCTCCGCTTCCAGAGTCTTTGACCTTGCCCTCAGCATTTTGTCACCTTCTGTGCAAGGCAAGGCTGCTGGCCTCTGGGAGTTTCTACACCCGTCTCTGCTGCCGTCACTTCCCACTGGTGGGCACCGGTGACCTTTTGACCTTAGCGACTCGAGGGTGCTCCCCAGGCCAGGCCACTGCAGATGCGGCAGAGGAGGGGCAGTGTCCCACCTTCTTGATTCTCAGGCCTGTCTCTCGAGGTTTTCATAAATTCATGGTCTTAACTCAGGACAGGGTACCTCCAGGCAGCAAAATTATCCGGGTGTTCATCACCAGCGCTGCCTCCTGCCTGATGTGGAAGCTGGTTTCAGCCAGGCTCAAGTGAGAAGTCCCCCAATAAAGCAGTACATGTGTGTATAAATATGTATGTGGATTGTGGTAAAGTACGTAGCACAGAACATTTACCCACTTCAGCGTTTGCAAGTGTTGAGCTCAGTGGCGGTTAGTGCACTCATACTCGATGGTGAAAGACTGAAAATTCTCCCTTTAAGATCAGGAAGAAGACAAGGATGCCCACTTTAGCCGTATGTATTTTTATTGGAATTTTTCTTGCATTATTAAAAATATATAAAAAATACATAAAACTATTAATATTCAGAAAAATTATACTAAATGGGGCAATGACTTTTAATATTTTGACATCACTGTACTTTACATAGTTCAGGTATATATATTTAGCTTTTAGGTTTTTTTTAATATTTGGAAACATCATATATGCTAATAATAATAATCAAATAATGTCAAAGATACCAAGACAAGGGCAAAAACCAAAGGGAACTCCCCCACACCATGATGTTTTAATGTCTCAGTGACACTTTCCAGACACAGCACGCACACACCTGCACACATGCACATGTGTGTATGCATATGGGATTCGGTGTCAGATCACATCTGTCCTTTTCAGTGTGGGTGACGTTAACACTTCCATGAACAATTAAAATTGCTTCTGTGCATTTTAATTTCCTTTCCTTCACGTGACTGTCAAGTTTCTATGTGCCATAAGTTACATAATCGGCTTTCTTCTTGTTTCCAAGTTTTGCTGTTGTGAAGACTGCTGTCCTAAAGCATTTGGGCATGCACATCCGCCCACATCTCCAGTGGTTGCTTTAGGACCGAGTTCTAGAAGTGGAAACCCTGAGGTGAAAGTGGAGAACTCCCGAGGCTGTTCCCACGCAGTCTTCTCTCACACCAGCCAGGCTGCACTCTGTCCTTTAAGGCAGTGAGTGGGCTGGGCTGGGTGTGGCCCTCAAGGACTTACAGTCCAGAGTAAGAAACACGTGTCAGTAAATAGAAGACCGTGTGCCAGACGGTAGTAGTCCTGAGTCCCCATGGGAGTACGTGCCTTTCTGCCTGGCTTGTCCACTGAAGGCTGTGTCAGATCTAGACCAGGGAGGTGAGGGGGGCAAGCTGGGACAGCGTGAGAGCTTGTCCCGGGGACGCCTGCAGTGTCCAGCAGGGGACGAGGCTGCAGACAGAGGCAGAGTCAGGCGTGTGCCACAGAACTCACACCACAGGTTGTGACGGACTGTTAAGTTTCTGAGAATTTGATAAAAAGATAAGACTTTTCCCTAGAAAAACACACATGCACATGAAATTTTGATTCTGGTCAAGGTCTGTGGGCCCTACTGAGCTTCCTGCTCTGGGCCTCGGAGCGCTGGACGAGGCTGGAGGCGCACTCAGGGGCCATCCATTGACAAGGGCAAGGAGATGGGACATAGGAGGAGCAGGAACCCACCCCGTTGTGCTGTTCCTCAGTCTGATGTCATGTGACAAGATTAGAATCCTGAACATGGTCACCAGGAGATGGTGGCAGCAATTTATATGCACAGCCACTGTTTTTTTTTTTTTTCCCTTTTTGTCTTTTTTTGTGACCGGCAACAGATCGCAACCCTCAGTGTCGCGCCCGTACCGGACTGGGACCGGCAACGGGATCGCAACCCTCGGTGCTGCGCCCGCACCTCGCTCAGCCAGTGAGCGGGAACCAGCCTGCATGTGGGATCCGAACCCTCGGCGGGAGCGCCGCCGCACTCCCAAGCGGCACACTGCAGCAGTGCGCCACAGGGCCGGCCACTGTTAATTCTCACCTGGCCCTAGGCCGTCCTGCTACCCGTGTCCCCAGTTCATAGATACAGAAGCTGAGGTGAGGGAGGGTGAGGTGGTGGACAGAGTCAGGTCTCACAGCCAGGTCCCATCCAGAGCAGCAGCCCTCTCCTCTCCCTGAACACCTCCCTGCTGGGTTAACGGCTCTACTGAGGTGTAATTCCTACACTGTACAATTCACCCATTTAAAGTGTACAACTCACTGGTTTTAGCATATTCAGAGTTTAGAGTCCTATAATTTTAGAACATTTTCATCCCCTAAAAGAAAACCCCATACCAATTAGCAGTCACTCCCCCTGCCTCCTTCCCAGCCCCTGGCAACTGCTCATCTAGTTTCTGTCCCTGTAGATTTACCTGTTGTAGAGACTTCATGTAGATGGGCCTTTTCTGTCCAGCTTCTTTTATTTAGTGAAGTATCTTCATTTTGTCCACATTGCTGCAGCATGCATCAGAGCTTCATTCCTTGTTACAGCTGAATAACATTCCCTCGTGTGGACGGACCACGTGGTATTTGTCCCTTCCACCACTGGTGGGCCCCTACCTGGGCTGTGTCTGCTTCCTGGCTGTTGTGAATAGTGCTGCCGCTCCACTTTTGATCCCTCACAGAGCTCTACAAGATTACCAGATCAGCCAGCTTCCTCGGCAGCTGGTGACTCTGGCTGTCCACCCATCCGTCATGTTGGCCGCAGTCCCCATGCTCACCCTGTATCTGTGGCTGTTGCCTTGCCCGGCTGTAGAGCCATCCATGCTGCTGGGCCCGCTGTGCAGCACCACCTGCAAGCCCACCTTCTCCATGAGAGCGTCCCCTCTCTCCCTCCCCGTCAGGGGGCCCTTGGGCCTAGCACATGGCTGCTTCCTATGGTCTCTGTTGCCTCTGGTCAGCCAGCCTCACTCCAAATGTCACCCTCCTACAGAATCTCTATAAACAGTGATGGTTGGAAAAGGCAGACAGCCAGCAATGCATGTGCTGGGTTTCACCTGGAGGTCACACTGCCAAGTCCCTTCAGACCACGGACAGGGTCAGTACCTCTCTGTCAGACAGAGCAGGGGTCCCAGGAGAGAAAGTCTTCTGATGAATTTCCTGGGGTCAGTTCACTGAAATGGGGGTGCCTGGTGTGGTCTTCTCATGAGAGGGCTTGACAGCGCATCTGACAGTCTCTGACCCAAGGAACTGGACACCAGATCCCTTTTCCCCCTAGATGAAGACCATGCATCCCTGTGCACTCAGCACCACCCCTGCCCTGCTCCTGGGAGCCTTCAGCATAATGTGTATGTGAAAGTCAGGCAGTGCTGAGTAGTTCAGGAGGGGTTTGCTATTGCTGCCTGCTGTTGGAGCGCTGAAACCATGGAGCCTGCTATTTGGCCACCAGGTGGAGGAGTGAGCCGGGCTGCACATCCCCTGTGCTCTGTCACCACCCTGCCACTGCTGCCACTGGCACGCATCCCAAAGGCAGCAGAGGAGAGGGGCCTGCTGGCATGCATCTCGAAGGCAGCAGGTGGGGCCCAGGCACAGATCTCCTGGTCTCAGTTTTGTGAGCCTTTCCACAGTGGAGGATCCTGTGATTTCAGAAACACATCGATGCTCCATCTGGGCGATGAGGTGGATGCTTCCCAAGGTAGTGGCGTGGTTGAGAGCGGTGTCCCCACTGCCCTGAACACCTGCCCTGGCAGCTCTTCAGGTTTCTCAGCATCTAGACTATGAATTCTTTTGTCAGTGGAGGGAGGAAAAGGACCCCGGTTAGGCAAATGTTATATTCCATCAAATCTAAGACACCACCAATTGTAAGACACACCAGTATCTTAGGAATCTCCCAAGAAGGAAAAAAAAAGTACTGCAGATTAAACTGTAACATTGTTTAAGGCCCACTGCATTCTCAGAAATGTTAAGATGAGAAAAAGTGTACATGTCAGAGTTGACATATCTGGCGTATAAGGGAATTAATACTTATTGCCCCCTTAGCAAGTGCTAAGTGCTATACCAGCTACTTGCCTCCACTACCTTGTAGGAATTTCACAGCAATTACACACTAAGGAGATTATTTTTCCATTTTACAAACGAGGAAACTGGAGCTCAGATAAGTTAGCTAATTGCCCTGCATTGCTTACTTGGGATCTGAAATTCTTTTTTTTTTTTTTTTGTCTTTTTCGTGACCGGTAAGGGGATCGCAACCCTTGGTGTGGTGTCGCCCACACCGCACTCAGCCAGTGAGTGCACCGGCCATTCCTATATAGGATCCGAACCCGTGGCGGGAGCGTCACTGTGCTCCCAGCGCCGCACTCTCCCGAGTGTGCCACGGGGCCGGCCCAGGATCTGAAATTCTAACACAGGCTGATCCAGCTTTCATTCCACTCCACTACACCATGTCCAGCAGCAGTCCCTGAGTGAGTTTCCACCGACATAGTAACCAGACCTAGAAAGTGTCTAGACATAATCTTGAGAAACAGGCCTATGTAGAGAGGATTAGCAGACGTACTTGAAGTACCTAAAAGAAGCCTTAAGGATGTGGAGAAATGTAACACTTTGCTGGACCTAAAGACTGAGCCCTGTGAGCTGTCAGGTGACGTCGCAGATCAGCTTATTGTTCACACATAAATTTGTTCGGTACCAGTAAAAATAGCTGCAGACTAGTCGGGTGTTTTTCTGGAACTCTGTGGATTGTGAACTCCACCCAGTAGAATAAATATGTGACCATAGCCCAGAAGTTTTTGAGAAAGAATTAGCTTGCAGGATCTCCACTGCAGGTGTCAGGGTGTGCTGTATGGCCACAGTGGTGAGGCAGGTGCTCTGGGGTAGCGAAGGACCGAGAACAGACCTGGAGTTATGCGGGGCTTGTACATGACCACGGGAGAATGGGCAGATTATTCAGTAAACCGAAGTCTGATCTCAACCTCACACCATAAACAGAAGTAATTCTAGGCAGATTAAAGATCTAAACATAAAAATATAAGAACAGTAGAACTGAAAAGGAACGGTGGAGAATATTTTCCTAATTTGGGCCTCTACATGAAAGCCATAAAGGAAACCATTGACAGGTGCAATTACCTGAAAATTTAGATTATATATGTAATCTCCATCATTAAAATGGGAATAAGTCAGGTACAATAGAAAATGGGCAGAGGATAAAACAGGAAATTCACAGAAGATGCCAGCAAACACATGAAAAGACACTGAGCTTCAAGAATGATAAAGAAGTGGGCCGGCCCGGTGGCGCACTGCTACAGTGCGCCGCTTGGGAGCGCAGTGGCGCTCCCACCCAGGGTTCGGATCCCACATACAGACCGGTTCCCGCTCACTGGCTGAGCGAGGTGTGGGTGCAACACCGAGGGTTGTGATCCCGTTGCCGGTCCCGGTCTGGTATGGGCATGACACTGAGAGTTGCGATCCATTGCCGGACACGAAAAAAGACAAAAAAAAAAAAAGAATGATAAAGAAGTAAAAGTGAAGAGAGAAACTGAGAGCTCATTTTCCCAAAAAGATCAACAAAAATGAAGACAATTGAGCCTGTAGCATGCTGCGGGTGCTGCCCAACACTGGCGGCAGGAGGTGACCTGGTACAGCCAGGTGGAGTGGGGGCCGGTGGCCAGGGAAGCAGCTAGAAGAACGCCCCTGGAGTGAGCGCCCTGGAGTGCACCTGCAGCATCCTGGTGGTCACACAACACGACAAATGCCCCACGTTTCTACTCAAGGAGTGCATGCTGTACTAAGTGATGGGCGCTCCTATAGAGTAATGCGGAGAACATGAAGATGACCGTGAGTCTGTGACGTGGGGTGTCCCATGATACAGTGTTATGTGGGACAAAGGAAGCCACCCAAGAGGACTGAGCAGGATGCTGATGCTAACATGGTTGCCTGGTAGAGATTAAAGGGCAGCTGCTGCTTTCGAACTGGTGTACCTCTTTACTGTTTGAGCTCCTGCCACAAATTACCTGTTTTGTCATTTAAATCATGGGCCTTTTTAATGCCATTTTCTTTCCTATGTGAAATGGACCAAGCAGAACAGAACTGTTCTGTCACATCTCTGCCAGAGAAAGAAGCGTCTTTCCACACTCCCCCCCCATGCCCAGTCCTGTGTTCCTGCTGCCGTCCCTGTTCCCATGTAGTGCAGAGAGGCCTGACCCAGTGAGGACGGCACGTGCCCCCCACGCTACCACGTGCCTCTCACTGCATTTTGGCTTATATTTTTCCTCACTCCAAAGTAGGGTCCTGGCTCCATTTACCTTGTGGTCATCGTTCACCCGAGGTCGCACCCTTCCTGTAAGACCTGGGTGGGTGCCTCCCCCGGAGCTCTGGGTGGGCATGGATCGCTCCCTCTAGAGGGGCTTCCTGGAGGCTGTGCCCTTACCTGCCACCCCCGCCAGCAGACACACATACTCTTCTCTTTACAGCCCTCAACCACGCAGGTCTGCAGAGGGCCAGCCCTCCTGCTGGATGGGTAATGGGATCAGAGAGCAGAAGATGCTAGATTCCTGGCAGAACATGGCAAGGAGAGCCCCGGGCCCGGATCAGGGACTGAGGGACGCTCTGTTCTGGCCTCCCTGTCCCTTCAGGGTTTCTGCCCCTGTGGGATGTGTCACCCATGGACTCGCTAAAAGCTGTTCCTACTCTTTCCTGCCCTCCTTCAACACAGGATTGCTGAACCATTGTTGCTTTTTTTTAATGAGTTTCTTTATTCTGTTGGTTCCAGTCACCAACTGACTTTTGTCACTTCCTTCCCTATCTCTGCTTCGCTGGACATGGCCAGGGGAGTTCTCAGGTGTGTATATCTCCTGTCTGTTTCCCTTTGTGGTCCATCTTCCCCACTGTGGAGTCCAGGTGGGACAGGGCAGCATCCATGTGGGCATGCCCCTGCCACCGTCCGGTCACCCTGGCTGTGCAGACTGTCCCTCCCTGATCCCACTTGGCTGTACCAGGCCACCCACGCCCTGAGACCTGTGTGCTCTTGCTCACCAGTCTACTACTGCTCGAAAGCTTGTTTTGGTTTGCTCCACTAACCACTGACAATGAACCTGATAGCTAACCCTCACTTCTTCAAACCTGAGAAGTCCCCTGAAGGCCATTTCTAAGGTTCTACAGAACCATTAGAAATGATCAGCAGTGACTGCGTAAGGAACAGAGGTGCAGCTCAGCAGCCTCTCGCCACGCTGTAAGGGCACACCCCAGAGGTCAGGGGTCCCACGAGACCCCCCGCCAAGCTCAGCCCAGCACTCATTCCCCATGTGGGTAGACGGTCGAGCTCCTGCTGTTTCACTTTGCAGCAGGAGGCTGTGAGGTCCCACCTGCTTATCCCAGTGCAGCATCCAGGGTGCTGTGCGGCTGGGCACAGCCCCCCACTCCCGCCCTCCCCCACCGCCCTGCCAGGCCAGCATCCTGGGGAGGTATTCACTGCGTTCCCCAAAGCCCCGAGGATAAACTTTCTGGAAGGAGTAGCTGGCTCCAGACCACCTCCTGCACCTCCCACCCCCTCCCGCGCTCATCCCTTGCCCAGCAAGCAGTAGCCCTGAACCACCACCCGCCCCGCGGCAGCACTGGCTTAACGCGCTTTTTTTCTCTCCCTCCTCTCTCCTTCCTTCCTCCCGCCCTTGTTGCCCATCTCCTGTGGGACTGGGACGCTCCCATAGTGCGTGATGACTTTTTTGGTAAGGCCGAGGCCCTGTTCCAGTGTGTGTTTCCCCCTGTCTGGCTTCCTCTCTCCACATCTCATGCTTCATGAGCTGCCTGCTTTGTCCTGCATGGTGGGGGCGGCGGTGGGGTCAGGCTCCCAGCCTCCAGGTTGGGGGCAGGCTGGGGTGGAGCGACATCTCTCTGCCCTCGCTCAGTAGGCTGTGGGGGGGTCCCCTGTGGGCAGACCTTCGATAGCCCGAGGAGGAGCAGCCCAGCCTCAGTGAGCCTGTGGAAGCTCAGGGTAGACGTGGGCCTGCTGCTTCCCAGCCAAAGGGGAGGGGCCTGCTTTCAAAGTGAGGGAGGTCAGAACGGAGACAGCAGGTGGGACCCAAAGCACACGTGTGTGTTTTATGCTGTTTCATGACTGCGTACATGGTGGGGGCAGTGAATGGAAGGGCCAGGCCTTGGGTCCTGGGGCCTGTTCTAAAGGATCAGATTCGGTACTATTGGGGCTTGTGTGACAGGTCTGCAGGGAGTTCAGTCTGTGGGGTCCATTTGTTGGCCTGGTGGCAGAGAAGCTGGGTCAGTCCCTCTGCAGAAAGGCACCAGGAGCACTGTCTGCCTCACGTCTGCTCCCCCTGCCTCCTGACCCCACATGGGGTCTGGGTCCCACCAGGCCTGCCACAGGGGCCATCCCATCTCCTCAGCCAGGGGCTTCCTCTGAGTCCTGTACTGTCTCTGTCCCCTGTCACCACAGCTCCAACATCTATTCACAGGGTGGGGTGGGGGGCTCTGAAAGGCATCTGCTTCAGGATGGGCCTGGAATCCCAGAGGGGAAGTGGGCGGTGCTGGGGGCAGCACACAAGTGGCCAGTGCGTGACTTCATGTCCCTAAGTGAGCCCAGAGCCACTGCTGTGAGCAGGCCCAGCTGGCTGTGAAGCTGGCTGAAGAACTTGTCTGGGCCAGCAGGGATCCCCTACAGTCAGATGGCACCCCTCCCCTCATACCAGCCCTTGAGGCGCAGGTCTGCCTGTTGAGCAGCCCCAGGGTCTGGCTTCAGAGGACACAGGCAAAACGCTGCACAATTCCTTTCAGGAATGGGCAAAGAAGTGGGGAACCTCCTGCTGGAAAACTCACAGCTTCTGGAAACCAAGTAAGAGCACCTTTCTCTCCCACAGCAGTGGCCGTGGTGTCCACCGCAGCCTGCCTCGGCAGGGCCAGTGAATGACCCAGGCCAGAGGGCTGCCCTGGGAGGACATTGGCCCATGGGGAGAGGTGGCAGCTGGGACATCTCTGTAGCAGGAGGAACTTGGAGCAGGACTCTGAGGAAATTTCTTTAAAAAGCTTATCCTAAGGACCCTTTAATCTGGGTGACCATACAGGTGGCCCCTGCCGTCACCTGCGTGCATGCGCAGGATGCCCCTTCTCAGACGCGAAAGTGTGGGCACCTCTGGGAAGTCCCCATCGCATCACATGAAGCTTCTGTCTTTCTACCTTTTCAAAGAAATGCTTTGAACGTGGTGAAGAATGACCTCATTGCCAAGGTTGACCAACTGTCGGGGGAGCAGGAGGTGCTGAAGGGGGAGCTGGAAGCCGCCAAGCAGGCCAAAGTGAAGCTGGAAAACCGCATCAAGGAGCTGGAAGAGGAGCTGAAAAGGTGAGGCGTCCCTGCCCCGCACCTGCTCCCAGCAGCTGTGTCCATCCATCTGTCCGTCCCAGGTGACTCCTTCCCCAGCGCAGTCCCTCCCTCGACTGCTGCTCATACCTGACTGTGGCCACCCCCGTGTCATGTCTTCCCCCCCCCCCCCCCCCCCCC